ACCATCATGTTTTGTAGTTTTAATCAAACATTGGATAAACAGTTTACAAGAAAAATGTAATTGATAGTGAACACCTCCCAGTTGATGGGTAAAATAATGTTTACTTTATTGTTGACAATGAGCCACTAATTGTACAAGTTTATCTTGGATCTCTTCTTTTTTTGGTACTTTTGTTTGCTTACCTTTAGTGTGCCCAAGTTATCAAAAAACCCTCCAAACTGGATCATTCATCGGCACTGTTGACTCACCATAACCACAATCTTCATCTTCACCATCAGTCATCCACAAGTATGGCCACTCAGACAACCATCTATCAGTGCATCAAATGGACCATTGTAGTTCTTTCAGTGACCAATATGGCAGCCTTAACCATTGCCGTTATCAACACAATCACAAGAGAAACCGTTCCATTGGATTGGGATAGAATCATTTCAATTGGATTAACTTTTATCATTCTACTGATTCCAGTGATTGGAGCTTGGAAACAGAATTACATGTTTCTCATTCTTGGTGGCATTGCATTGGTTTTATCAATCATTTACTCTGCCATGGGCCTTAAATCCGCTACTGAGCTTCACCTATTAATGGCTTTACTAACCGTAGTTACCTTTGCATATGCAATACTCATTAGGAAACGTGATGCTTCACTCATCAATTCAAATGATTCATTTTGATTAACATTAATACTCAACTCTAATGAGGGAAACCAAAACGACCAGAGACAAAAAAAAATAACAAAATCAATTACTTTTTTAGCTGATCAAAAAAGCCTAAATGACTGTTTACCTTTGAATTTGTAAAGCAAGAAAAAAAATGAGACAAAAGACATGAAGCCAAAATGTGAATCTAATGAATCTGAAAATAAAACGTCAACAAAAATCGACTAAATTAACATTGGATAACAAACATCAGTTTATTATTTGATATTATTTTTGTTGTTGTTTTTCCATTGAAAATCTTTTGTTCACCTTTTCTTTTTCTAACCTGAACAGACAACATTTTACTTGAGTGAATCCTTTAATATGCTGATAACTGGGAGAAAAAAGTTATTACTTTATATTATAATCAAATAATATTAGTGTAAACCCAAATGATAAATAATGCGACTCCAAAAATATGGCAGAAACACGAAAGAAAGAAAAGAATGATTAAAACAAGAGAAAAATGTTGAATAAATTATTGCGCAAATTGAATACTGAATGATTCATTTTTGGGTTAACATTCATCATTAAATTATCTGTTTACCAAAATTGCATGTCTCATGCAATGTGGGAGTGAAAAATATTGGCTTAACATCAACCTGTTGTCCGATTTGAGATTCAACTTTTTCTTTTCTCGTCTTTTTCCTCGCTTCTATCGAAACATTGACAAAACTATTGATGGACAGTTTAAGCATTCTCAGGATTGAACAATGAGACAATTTTATTGATGAATTGAAGAGAAAAAAAATTCTTTTTGATTAAATTTTGTTATTGAAAAGAAATGGTTCAACTTTTATTTTTACCTGTTTCTTTATTCATTGAATCTCAAGATTCAGCAAATGGCATTGACTAGAATCAATTTGTTCACTTTTGGGTCCAACCAAAAGTTGTTGGCTCAGGTGAAGCTCGATTGAAAGTTGAATTTTGTGTGAACTTTTGTGTCTTCATTTCTTTATTTTACCTTTCAACATGAACCTTATCAAGTCATCCATGGCTTTTTACATCTCAACATTTCTCAATTCAATAGTCTTCCCTGTTAAGTAAACTTTCAATTTTATTTAAAAGCTTTTTGTCCATCTGACATTTGATATGATGCATGATGGTGATGATGAAAATGATGGCGATAATAACAATGATGGCAATAATGATACCTGTAAGTTTGTTTCGTGTTGAAACTTGAATCACATGAAATGCAAGAATATTGAATTGCTCTCAGAAGTTTCTCAAGTTTTTTGGAAAAAAATTCAAGTTGTTTGAGAAAATACATTTTGGTTTCCTCTTTTTGCCATTTATATTACAACAACGAATACAACCTCGAAAGAAAAGTTTGATATTTTACCATTAACTTTGCGCATATTTTAAATATGTTGATAACATCGCATCTAGTGATGGGTTTCAAACCTTTATTTTATTGATATTTGCCTTCATAATTTTTTAATTAGTTGAATTTTCATTTCAATAAAAGTCAGTTAATCAGGTTATTGTCGAGAAAGTATCTTGATAACACAAGACATTTGTTTTTAACGTTTGATAAGACGAGTTTAATTTCATAACTTGTGACTTGTCAATATTTGAACTGACTTAGATCTGTTTCTTAGCCTTTTTTCATTTATTGATTTAACAATTAGGTGATCCTAATTCAAATTTACTCAAAATGTTTGATTATTCACTGAATCATTAGCAATTACTCAATTTTTTGACAAGCTTAAAAATTTTTGATTCAATTTTTGTCAATGGAAAAAGTTTCAACATGATCATTTTGAATGACATTAATATTTATAAGGAAAGTTTATTAAAATAAATTGCTCATTTTTCGGTGTCATAAGAGATTCAATAAAATATAAAAAGACGGTAATTCATTAAATCGATTATATTTAATTCCCTTTGCTTTATTGACCCACTTCCCGGATGCAAAGGCGAGGGTAAAAGTTCAATTAATTAAAATTGATGAATTGATTCATCAGGGCTCTCATATTTTCATTGCGTGCTGCAAATCGTGAATGATGGCTATTGACAACAATTGAAAGATTAAAAATAGATGAGACCGGAGTTTCAAATGCATTATTTTAGTAGTTATAAGACAATTAAACGATCTGATAAAATTCCGCAGAGCTTCCGAAAACCACAATATCTGCAATATCCACAATATATTACATGTACATGGCCAACAACAGAACTTGTTTACAACTGTAAAAAACAAGAGAAATTGAATTATTTTGCTGTTAGTTAACGCATGTAAAGAACAATGTTCTAACATCAATATGACAACTCCACCTAACGAGTTGGCAAATAGGTTGATAAAAACAGATTGAGTGAATTTCAGAATTAAATGCAAAGAAAGCCATTAGAGAGAGAGAGAGTATGCTGCGGTTCATATGAAAATTCATGTATATTTCTAGGAATTGAGTTGGTCCTGCGATATTTAGGTTAAGAATTTTTGAGGCGTACTTTATGTCGGTTTATTAGTTATCTATTGACCTAAAACTTGTGAGTTTCGGAAGAAAAAGACAAGTTGTTGTGATTCTGGACGATCTGTAAATCGGGATCCACAAAATTTTCACTGTGGTTCACGGTTAAATGCGTGTGACCATACGATGATAGGTTGTACACGCCATGTAATAACCACGCCATAAATCCGTATGGATTTCAGTTCCTTGTGCCACATGTTTTTGGGCAAGTGGGAGCATAACTTCTTCACTCCGCATATTGTCTAGGCATATCTCAAGTCGATAGCCTTTATTCCCATTTCTTTCAATCATGCCAACGATCCAGTAGAGCCTTCAACCAGCCTACCACAGTTCTTCTTCCTTTTGCCTATTTTGCATTCGTTTATTTCGATGATTATGCCTGATCCTCCGATCGGCCCTTGCTGTTCATAAAAAGCATCAATCCTTACTATGCAAACTTCTCTGGTATACGAGAAAACATCAGCAATTGTTTCCCGGGAAACTGTTGTGGCAAGATTCTGTTTCCGTGTGTTTTGTTGATCTCGAAGTCGGTCTTAAACTTTTCAAGGTTCCAAGATGATCCATCTGGATAACATTTATCTTGAATCAGCCTCAGAACTCGCAGGTGCATAGCGACTGAAGCATCTGGAATCAATGCATACACGGTAGGAATCATGATTCCACTTGGCATGACATGGAATGAATATAATGAATGGCACACTCCGATCTTGCTCGAGGGTGAGTTGGAAATCTATGCTGAGTCAGGCTGAATCTAGGCTGAGTCAGGAATAGTTGCTTAGGATCTTTTCTCGCCTGTTGTTGGCGCTAAGACACATTATGTACATCACTCAAGTTCCGTGTGCTTTACATGTTATCGGTCCGCCGAGAGAGGTAATCATACCCATTGTAATGAGCTAAAAATGGCAAAACAAAGACATTGCAGAAAAAAGGAAACATAATGAATGTTATTCTCAGCTTCATAATGGAAATTTTTCATAAGCGAAGTTGATTTCAAGCTTTGAAACCTTAAATAAAAATTGAAGTGAAAATTTGCAAGTCTTAAAGTTTCCTCAGGCATGTTTTTTCTCTTATTTCTATCAATTTATCACAGAATCACCCGAATAGAACCGTACCTTTTCGGCACCTTTTTTTGTGAGTAAACTTGTTGGCAACTACGAAAATTGGTTATTCGAGCTTCAACTTTCACAGATGAACATTGTTTGTATGCAACCATAGCACTTATGTCAGGCTCATGACAATGGTCAGTTTCGCCTGCGATCAAATTGTTAGCATCAGTATTTACTTCCACTTTACAATTTTTATCAACACAGGTCTAATAAGTTGTTCCACCATAATTGTTTCTCTTGAACAAGAAGCTGAGCTCGACGAGTTGATTAACTTAATTCAATTTCATTAGCCATTTATGAAAATCAATAAAAAGAACACTAAAAATTGATGAAAATTAGCGAAAATAATATTTTGATGATAAATTGCAATCTAGCATCGAACAGACAAATGAAATCTGGGTTAAAAATATGTTTTGTTTTAATCAGTTTTGCCACAATCTGAGACTCTGGATTTATGGTTCTATAATGTCGGGAATTACACTGACTAAATAGCATAAAGATCTAACACCTGGTTCGAAAGTTATCAGTACAAACGACCGTCAAGGATAAAAAATACCCAGTATGTTTCATACTAACTACTGTTTTAAACCATTCATTTATTACTCAAATTTTATTTTTCATATGTAAAATAACATAATTGATTTTACCGTGCATTTTCATCTTCAGTATCATATTTTAAAATTGAAAAACTTACAGCACTTTTGGTAAAACGAAAAGACGTCGGAACTGCATTGATTATTGATTTATCTTGCTCACATAAATGAAGATAAAGTCGAGAGTATAAATCAAAATTCGCCATTTACATTCTTGATTCATCGACTACTTCCATTCTTCCTTTATCAACAGCTATCACGTTTGAATGAATAAAAATAAGATTGTCCTTTGTTTTTAAAATTTCGTCAACAAAACTCCCATTTCTTTTTTTGGAAAAAATCTAATACTATCGTTATTGAGAAATAAGCGCTTCGATGTGGGCGCTACATTTTTGCTGAATTGATGAAACTTGTTGCTAATAAAGACTTGGTAAGGTAAGAATAAATGTTGTAAATAATGTAATGACAGAAGAAATGAAACTTGGATTTATAACAAATAAATTGAGAAACGTGAATCCAACATCATTTTTCGACACACGATAAAGGAAAAGTTCAATCTGCAATGAAAACAAGAGTTTGCATTCAAAAAAACGCATAATAAAAGTAACAATTTGGAGTTCAAAAGCTACACAACTTACCTCCCTATTCAAGTTATCAGGTTCATTGAGAAGAGATAGTTCATATAAAGTTTCTGATTCTTCATATGATACCGTATTTACTCTCATCATGATTATCGTAATGTAAATAATGTAAACTGCATCGCCACACATGAACAAGCACGATATTAGTTTGCGTCGAAGTGAACTATTTTCTCCGTAAATTGTATAAATATTGGTAAAGTTGCTGATCGTTGCTATCGTATAAAGATGGGCAATCTCAAAACGGGCAAAATCCTCAAGATGAACCGAAGCTCGGACTGCAAGGCTGTACATAAGTCGTAATCTATTCAGTCTTTTCGTTACGCCAGTCACATTCTTTAGATTCTTTAGTTGAATGTTGATCAATTCAAAACATCCGATCAATTTTATTACGGCTCCACAAAATTTATTATAAGCGTACAACCAGCCAAAAATGCTGATTAATCTTGTGACATTCACGGTGAATAGAAAGATTAATTTGGTTCTCGTATCCGATTTAAAATCCTGGATGTAAAAAGTTACAATCAACAAGAAGATTGGATAATAGAGATTTAAGTAAAACACCACGAACAATTTAATTCGCCTTCTTTTCTTTTCAGAAACGGCAACTGTTTCATTCTCAAGAAGATTGAAGTTTTCCATGAGTTGATTTGCTTGCTCCAGAGACTTCCAGTTATATCCGCAGATCAAAATGAAACCTCTCAAAATGTCATCAATCTCTACAGTGATCATAAAAAGGCATCTGTAAATCCTGAATGAACTGCTTGGTTTACATGAGCCTTGATCAAAGCTCCGAAATCCAGCAATAAGTCCGGCTGCGATGCCACACAGTCCAGCTAGGCAAAGGCCTATGTGAGTTGAAGAATACTTTTTCATAGAAATTGATAAATTGAACGAACCGAACAAAAACAACACTTTCAAAGTCTATGATGGTTTGAGGAAAAGTAATGAAATCCAGGTTGACCAAACTTGTATGTTAGCTTCATGCTAGTTGTTTTGACTAGTGTCGCTCGATATTGATTGTCATCTATTTATCTTTGATATTCTGACTCAACTTCAATAGATTATTGATAATTTTCAAGCGGTTTGCGTATCTAGTTCGACTGATCATTTCTGCATAACATAACGTCTGATTTCACTGTTCGAGTCTCATAAGCGTACTATGCTAATGGTATTTTTAAGCTCTTTTTCGCTAAAACGATGAATCCAAGTTAAAGCTTTATCAAATTTACTTTTCTCAGTTGACTGTCAAAGTTTGTTCACTCAAATTTCATCAATAAAAGTTTGGATCCATAATAATGATAGGGATAGTTTTATTACTGCTAAAGTATTATTAGTCGATTTTTTGTTAGTATCTTTAATGTTGACTATACTGAACATAAATCCAAGTTGGACCATTGCCAACTTAGTCTCTATCATTTCTCAGTCTAACTGAATATTCTAGCATGAAACTTATATATCATTTCCATTATTCAAATTGAGCCATTGTCAACTGACAAGGCAAATATATCATAATAATGTATTTACATTGTGGTGAAATCAGATAATTTACCAGTCCAACATAAATAGTTATTGATTAGTCTTGGCTTTTGTCTGAGTTATTGACTGTTTTGTAACTGCAAAGACTGTCAAAAACAATCCCGGAAACAAGATTCAAAATTTTTAGTTTAAAACACAAACTCAAGCTGGCGTTAGTTGAGTCACTCAATTTCAGCTAGCTTTTTATCATTCAACATTCCGAATGAATTGAACTGAAAGCTCAAGCCTTTTGTCTATTATAATAAAGAAAGGTTATCTTCACACCATTTACCACCCTGTATTAAGTGAAGAATTCAAAGCAAATATCTCCAAACGGACTGAAAAACAATTCGATAAAATCGTTAAACATTTTTAATTTCCAAAGATTCAATGACCAAAGTTTTCATTTAAAAAAGTAAAAACATTTAATGCTGAAACTTTCAATTGAATTTGGGAATATTGTGCATTTTGTTTTTGAAATGATAAATCTTTTGTAGAGTCATTGAGCGATGATAAAAAATTCAAAGTTGACCAACTTCAACTGGATCAAGTGATAAAATTTGAAACAATTGCAATAACGTTGTATCCATTAATTAACATTTTCACTGTTAATCTTCCTCTTCAACCTTGAAACAATAGCCAGCAAACAAAGGTTCAAACAATTGAAAACTAATCAAACAAGTACATCACATAAAATGTAATCCAAAATGTTGAACCATAAGAGAAAGTCAAGAAGAAGGAAAAGGCAAGTTTGTCCAAACGATTGTAAACAGTTAATCAAACAACGGCGAAAAAAAGGAAAGAAATCTCAGAATCTGTTGGAATGAAAACAAAAAGTTAATTCAATTGTCATTACAATCAGTCATCTTTATCATACTTACACAGTTTAACAGCAACACCTTTCAATGATTTGATCGTTTCTTTTCCTTAACCATACAAAATGGGCAAAAACTTGAGGTTTATCAATTTCAATTAATTACAAAACTTCAATGAGTTTCAACGTTCAACACGAAGATGGAGATTCGTCTGATAAAAGTGCGCTTTACACGCAAAAGTCAACTTTGACTTTAATCTGGATCATCATAATCATCGTTATTATCATTGTTATTATCCTTTAAATCGCCGTCTTGATCATAGAGATTTAACATGAGCCAAGATCTTCCTTTAACCTTCTTCCCACAACAAAACCTGAACAGTCTGAAAATGGCCAGATTAACTGCAATTTAAAGATTATTATTGTTTTCAATTTCACTCGTTTCAACACTTTTATCTCACCTAATGTTAACATTTTCAAAATTATTAATACATTGATTGGTTAGTTTGACCTTATTCGGAAAACAAAATATCAGCAATCTCAAATAGAAAGGTACAATTTTGGTGTAAATAACTTTCCCATTCCCAATTGAACAATGTGAACTGATGGACTTGATTAATGCAAACCATGACCATGCTTTATGGTAACAGTTTCATTAATTGTCGGCCAAGTTTAAACAGTCAATCAATTGAATTGAGGCCCAAAAGTTGAGAAAATAAACTAAGTGTCGGTCTAATCAAGATAATCGTACCACTTTTTGCTATAACCTTTATTTTCAAATTAATTTATCTTTTCACATCGTAATTAATAGTATAATCAATAATGAATCAAATTAATTTTCTTTATTTGTATTATTTTCTCAACAAAATTGTATCCATCATTTGTGATAAATGGTATTTTCACTTTCATTTAATGTTGCTTGTTTACTGGGAAAAGTTGTTTGTTTGATGCTCATTGATATTGTTATTTATCTTGATTGATATACGGAATCGAGTTCAAGTTTACAGTGAATAATAACTATTGATGGTAACAAATACGAAGAAACAACTAACAAATGATAGTGAGTAGAGATAATAAGTCAATTAATCTGGTTCCCAAAAGGTATCAACAAGTCAGTGCTGTTTGACATGAAGAAAAATTACCATCTGATGTTGAAAAAATATATTGCACTCAGTTCACACCAGAATAATCATAGATCAGAGTTTGAGGTTGGCCATTCCGAATGATTCAATAATTATTAAACAATACAAGTGACTATTGGTACCTAGTGGTACCGACTGACGTGAGAAGAAGCTGAGAGCGATTATAATTATAAAATCTAATTTATTTGCGATTCCAGAGTGCGATTTAATTTTAAACGATTGTAATACTTGGCAGTGAAAAAGGCAATGCTCGAACAAAGAATAAAGCAGAGGGAAAGTTCCCTAAAGTAGTCTAACATGGTTAAGTTGAGTTAAGAAGATATACCCATGAATTTATTCAGTCTTTGCGAAATCGTTGAAGTGATTCATTTAATTTAAAGTAACTTGGGATTTATTTAATTAGAAATATTTTATTGTGCAGTTGGTTGCTACATTCACCGAGCTACTGTCTATGTATCCCCGGTGTGTAAGAAACAATATTTAAATGCAATATAAATAAACTTATGTTTCCACACATTGCGGATCTCACGAATTCATTGCATTATACTGTTTCCACGAACTGTATAACTGCAAGACGAATGTCAAATGATGATTTCGATTAATCTCTCTAACTCTAGCTCTATCTATCTATCTCTCTTATCTTTTTTCTTTTCTTCGTAGTTCAAACAGAAACATTTCGTCTCTTATTGTCGAACAAATTGCATGGTAAAATTCATTATCATGTTGAAATATTCATCTAAATTTAGCATTAGGAATGAGACTTCAAGTTTTCATACATTTTGATAACCTTTCGAAACAGCACATCTCATAGTGTCTAAACCTCTCGCATGCATTTCTTTGCTAAATGACTTGATAAAAAATTCCAAAATGTTCTTTTTGAGACTATTACTGTCAGGGAACTTTTACCATGGAAAAGCATCTTGGTGAAGCTTCATCTTCAAACGGATATGCCAGGGTAGCTCAGAAGAAGCTCTGCAATTATTGTATCTAATGCGCTCTTTTAAGCCAAAAACAATACATTATGATTTTTTCATATTCCTTGTCACACATAAAGATTGTGATATTGTCGAGTTTTGTAGTTAGGGTTTGCCATTGAATATTATATCGATTTTGCATATCCATCACAAAATCAACTCACATCGTTGCTAAGGATTGTAACATTCGAAAGCGAAATGGATGTAAAAATTCTAAAACTTGATCATGCAAAATATGTAATAAAGTCCGATATATGATCGTGTCTTAGTAATAGCAGTCAATCAGTATGTTGATGTATAATTTTTATACTTTTGTGGTGATCAATAACCAACTCTTTATTTGTGTCTTTTTTATTTCCTCTGTTCATCAGCAGATTTCCTTTCTCTCGCTCCTTTATGGTCAGTGTTCCTTATGATTCAGCATCAAACAAGTAAAAAGTCAAAATCGTTAAATTCATGGTCTTTTAACGCGAAATGATTTGATAGACAATACAATTAGTTAATAAAAATTATGAAGATTCAGAAAATTTCATTTCATTGCAATAAAATTGAAGGGTAGAGTTGCCCAAAATCAATCCCAATCATAATCATTTCATCATCATTTAATCATAATTTCATTTTGCAGCTTAAAAGCTTTATCTTTCTTTAAACTTTAAATTTTGGTTTTGTAATTTTGTATTAATCCCTAAAAATGACATCATAAGATTGTTTACGGTTGTCACAGTAATGGTGTCCATAGCTTCTAAGCTTAAGCAATTATTCCTTTTCCTTTTCTTTTGTTCTTTTCCTTCCGTTTATGTAACGTATATAAGGGTTTCTTTAATTGTCATTAATTGTCATTGATCAGTCCTAGTTTGATCTAAATTGATCTCGTTTTTAAGTTGAACAACGTATCGAAATATCTGAATCTAAGTTTTCTTTTGTTTTAAAACAATTCTGTTAATAAGTTGGTTCCTAAACCTGTTCATATTCATCTTTACATTTATCTTTACTTTTGGGTTAAAACAGTTTTTCTATGTTAAATAAATTTTGGTGTTCTTTTCAGTTTATAAACTTGTGCTTCCTTTAATTTGTTATTTGCCAAAGACTTGAGTCTAATCATTCCTGATTCTATGATTGAAATCACTGCTGTCGAGTTATTCCTGATTGTGCTAATTGTT